TATAAATGTTATGTAGTACTATTGAGTGATGTACTGCAAAGAAAGTAAGCATATGTCTAATTCTTTGAAAGTAGCCGATAGAGGCAGAGGAAATAAGAGAAGTTCAGCCTGTATATAGAAGCCTAAAATCAGATAACTGCTATCACACACAAAAGGTATTGATAGGATTCCATTTAATGTAGCATGCTGTCTAGACAATATTATTTGCAGCATGATGTGATGGTCATTTGTAGGAAGCAACTGATATAAGCTGACCTTGATACTTTCCGTGTCATTCTTAATAACATTGTTACATTTTCTACATTGCTTTCTTCTTGATGACTATTTAAGCTAATGGATGATCATTTTCTTTTCGTTTATTTATTTATTTATTTAATTTATTTTTTATTTTAAGCTTGCTTCACATGTCAATCCAAGCTCTCTCTCCCTCTCCTCCTCCCCGGCACCTCCACCAGCTCCCCAAGACCCCCACTCAATCCCCTCTTCATTTCCCAGAGTCTGCCATTTCATCCAGGGCAGGGCCCAGGTCCTTCTCCAAGAGACCAGGCTGAAAGAGCATCCCTCACTGTGGGAGGGGCACCCAAAGTCCACCTGTATGCCTGGGACAAACACCAACCCACTGCCCCAAGGCCCCACAGATTGTCCAGGCCTCCTCGTTGACACCCACATTCAGGGGTCTGGATCAGTCCCATCCTGGTCTCCCAGCCATCAGACAGGGATCCCAGAGCTCCACCTTGTTCAGGTCAGCTGTTTCTGTGGGTTTCACCAGTCAGGTCTTAACCCCTTTGCTCATCATTACTCCCTCTGTGTCACTGGTTTCCAGGAGTTCAGTGTTTAGCTGTGGGTGTCAGCCTCTGCTTCCATCAGCCACTGAATGAAGGGTCTAGGGATGGCATATAAGGAAATCATCAAACTCATTGTCAGGTATGGGCATTTAAAGTGGTCTCTCCAATATTGCTTGCTTTGTCAGTTGGTGTCATCATTGTAAATCTCTGGAAATGTCACTAGTGCCAGGTCTCTTCCCAAACCTATAATGACTCCCTCTATTATGGAACCTCTCATCTTGTTCTCCTCTATTCTTCCCTGGACTTAATCATCCTGCTGCCCCATGTCCTCCTCGCCCCTCCTCCTCTTCCCTGCTCCTCTTCCCAGTTTCCCTCCTCCCCACATGCTCCAGTCTGCTCAGGAGATCTTGGCTCATTCACCTTATCTGGGGGTATCATGCATATCTCTCTTAAGGTCCTACCTGATTCTGGACTCTCTGATGGTGGATTGTAGGCTGGCACTCCCCTGAGTCATGTCTAAAACCCATATATGAGTGAGTGCATACCATGTTTGTCTTTTTGTGACTGGATTACCTCACTCAGGATGGCTTCTTCTTCACCCAGGATGGTTTCTTTTAGTGCCATCCATTTGCTAGCAAATTTCAACATTCCATTGTTTTTTTTCTGCTGAATAGTACTCCATTGTGTAAATGTATCACATTTTCAAAATCCTCTCTTCAGTTGAGGGGCATCTAGGTTGCTTCCAGGTTCTGGCTATTAAAAATAATGCTGCTATGAACATAGTGGAACAGACATTCTTGTTGTATGTATGTGCATCTTTTGGGTATATGCCTAAGAGTGGAATCGCTGGGTCTTGTGGTTGATTGATTCCCATTTTTCTGAGGAATCTCCATACTGATTTCCAAAGTGGCTGTATGAGTTGGCACTCCCACCAGCAATGGAGGAGTGTTCCTCTTTCTCCACATCCTCTCCTGCATAAATTGTCTTCAGTGTTTTTGATTTTAGCCATTCTGACAGCAGTAAGATGGTATCCCAGAGTTATTTTGATTTGCATTTCCCTGATGGCTAAGGATGTTGAGCACTTTCTCAAGTGTCTCTCAGCCATTTTAGACTCCTCTATTGAGAATTCTCTATTTAGTTCTGTACCCCACTTTTTAATTGAATCCTTTGTTGTTTTGGAGACTTGCTTCTTGAGTTTTTTGTAAAATTTGGAGATTAGCCCTCTTTTTATTTAAATTAAAAAAATCTTATTTTACATACTAACTCCAGTTCCCTTCCCTCCCCCATTCACTCCCCACACCTACCCATCCCACTCACCATCCACTCTGTAGAGAAGGTGAGGCCTCCCATGGGGATCATCAAAGTCTGTCCCAACATTTGGGAGAGACCAAGGCTCTCTTCCCAGTATCTAGGCTGAGAAATTATCCCTCCATAGAGAAGGGGGCTCCAAAAAGCCAGTTCATATACTAGGAATAAATACTGGTTATACTGCCAGCAGCCTCATGGACTGCCCAAGCCCCCAATTGACACCCAGGTTCAGGGGGCCTGGTTTGGTCTTATGCTGGTTCCCCAGCTGTCTGTCTGGAGTCTGTGAGCTCCCACTTGCTCAGGTCAGCTGTTTCTGTGGGTTTCCCTAGCATAGTCTTGCCCCTTTTGCTCATCGCTCCTCCCTCTCTACTACTGGACTCCAGGAGTGTGGCTCAGTGCTTAGCTGTGAATGTCTGTTTCTTCTTCCATCAGTTACTGGATAAAGGCTCTATGATGACAATCATTTTCTTTAAAGTAAGGATATTTACTAAGCAGAAGGGATAATCCATTTTCTGTTGCTCCTCACAGTCTTGGTGCTTGAGTAATATGCTCTTTATCTCTGAGTTAATGATCTCTTAAAAGAAATAATGTACAAATCTCTCAACCTAATTAAGGCTAATTACTTCTTTTCCTTACAATGTGAACCCCATATGCCTTTTTGAAGGAAGGTTGATTGTTACATAAGTGTACTCTCTGCATTATACCCTTGTTTTGATAAAATGCATTTACCCAGTATCATGAAATTACCTTCCTTTCACTAGGCAATGAGGGAATATTTGAACAGTGGTCACTGCCTATACCTGTAGAAGTCTGTTAATAAATCTACAGAAGTACATGCCTCTGCATTCACAATCTTTATCTCCACATTTTTCTATTGGATAGCGAATCCCCAAGAATTATCCAGATCCCATTCACATAACTCAAGTTTGTACACATCATCCACTTATATTTGATAATCAGCATAACTATGTCCCTACTTTGGGCTTACAAAGAGAAATGTGCAAAACTGAAATTTCATGCCCTTAGAAGTTATATTTGGTAGAATTTCAGTTTTAAAGTTCAAATATCAAATATAAATAGATGAATCAACAGAATTTTATTGGTCTTATTGCAGACAAAGCACTTTGTTTACGATCACATTTCGTCTTTGGAGGCACAAAAAGAATGTTACTGCTTGCTGTTTTAATTAGCTTTGATTTTCAACTTGGCAAAGCCAACATTTGAGAATTTCCTAGATCAGGTGTCCTATGTCCATGTCTGCTGGAATTGTCTTGGTTATTAATTGGTGCAGTGGGGTCCAGCCTACTGTGTGCTGTTCTGTCTCGATACAGGTAGTCTTGAGATGTATAAAATAGTTAGCTACACCTCTGCCTCCCCAGTGCTGGCATTAAAGGCATGAGAGGTAGGCAGATCTCTGTGAGTTTGTGAGCAGCCTAGTCTGCAAGAGATAGTTCCAGGACAGTCTCCAAAGCCACAGAGAAACCCTGTCTGAAAAAAACAAAAACAAAACAAAACAACAACAAAAAAAGGTAGCTACACAAGAGCCTACAAGCTGCCAGCCAGAAAATTGTTCCATACACCTTCGACTTCCCTCAAAGGTGTATGGAAATCTGGTAATGTTAGTTAAAAAAAACCTTTCTTCTCCATGTAACATTCGATCAGAGAGTTTTTATCACATTTTTTTCACAACTACAAAAAGAAAACTGGAACACCAACTTTCTTAAATAACTGTTGATTCCTTTTGGCTCAGTTCTGACAGAGATATGTGAAAAATTTTGAAGAAGCTTTCAGCTCTAAGCCTTAAGAAAGAACACCAGAGATGCTTTAAGTATCTCTGCCATTCCAGCAGTGACCTCAAAGGCCATTTATAGTTTAGAAACAGCCTATTACTGAGTCAGTAGATAGGAAAGATGTCTGAAGAATGTCTAGAGACCCAGGTACTCATATTTGGCAGACAAAACAGATATAAAATTATATTTCATTAAACTAGTGAGATGTAGGACTGTGTTTGCTATTGCTACAGTCTTGTCTCTTTATTATAATTTAAATATTTTTATTGAAACACTTAAAATATTTTCATTGAAGTACTTAAGATGTTTAATCTCTTAAAAACACTACTTGATGATTTAATATATGTGTACGACAAAATATCATCACATTCACCCCTTATATCTATCTCTAACTCCCTCTGGATATCCCTCACATGCCCCTCCCTCAGTGTCTCATCATGTAATTTGTGCTGACCATATGTGCATGTTTGTAGGGGTATTCACTGGAGCATGGGCAATTTGCCCCTGGTCACATCCCCCAAAGAAGAACGATTCTCCTTCTCACAGCAGCTGTTTGCTGCTCCCCTCTGTTAAGTGTTTGTCTTCATCTGTGCTGGGCTTTGGCTGCCTTGATCTTTTACAGGTAACCACAGTTGTTGTGACTCCCTGAATGCAGCAGCTACGTGGATCCTGAAGGTATTATTGCACTGTGTCCTTCCACATCCTCTGCCTACCTACATTCCTACTGCCTCTTTGTTGGGGCCTAGTCCCCACAGGATCTCTGAGTTGTTTGTCAGCTGATAGCCACAGGTGTATCCTGTTTTCTAGTCTGGGCTTACTCCCCCTGCATTGCCCCACTGACATCAACATCTAGCACAAGGAAAACATGCTCTGTTTTCCACTGTGCTGTAAGCCTGTATATATAAGACCGCTCTCTCCTACAAGAGAGGGACCTCTTAGCACACACACACACTCTCCTGGCAATGAAGGCAGCACATGCATTCTCTTAGTATAAACAGCTGGACATCTGGTCTTCTTTTTCCCCTGATACTTTGGACTTGCTTGTGGCACAGGAGCCGCAATTGGAGGTCCCACCAAGATCCAGAGAGACTTGAAAGACTGGGAAAGATCGGCCAGAAAGAAAACTCAGGAGAGGAGAGACTCGAGAAAGAAAAGATTTAAAAACAGGTACCTCAACTTCTAACAGTAAAATTAAATGGTCAAATTTCCAGGATTTTGCCTGAGAGAACACCTTCTAAAGAGGTGTATTGAATTAATCTCCAGCCTTTGCCCGATCCACTGAGATTGGGAAAGTAAAGGGGAACTGAGAGATCGCTCTCAAAGGCTGGCCAACAAGTAAGGCTATGAGGGTGTATTGGAATGGGGTACAAAGTTAGGGGTACCAGGTTAAATCTCCAGGCCTTTGCCCACAAGGTTGGAAAAGAAAGGGGAACCTGAAAGATCGCCCTCATTCAAAGGGTGGATTGGATTAAATCTCCAGCCTTTCGCCTGATCCACTGAGGTCAGGAAAGTAAAGGGGAACTGAGACATTGCCCTCAGTTGGAGGGTGAATTGATGAAATCTTCAGGCTTTTACCTGAAGAATTATCCTCAGTTGGAGGATGGATTAAAATTGTGTAAATTAAAAATGAGTGACAGTTAATAAACAAGATACTGGTGTTAAGTAAAAAGAAAGGAAAAGGTAAAAGTATATGAAGTGGAAAATACACAGAGAGTGGATACTGCATGCTGTTGTGTTGTCTTTAAATTGTTTAATTGCTAAGAAAAAACAAAAATGGCTAAAAGACATTTGATTATCAATGATACTAAACGCAACTTATATATTTTAAAAATGCTTTGACTACTAAATTTAAATATAAGGACAGGTTACTTGGGAAAAGGATTTCTACTTTTGTTTCCACAAAAAATAAAAAGCTGTGGGTTCCTTCCAGACTAGTATGGTTTGATGAAGCAAGACCACCTAAAACAGTGGCCCAGCTGATCCAACATCTAAAACAGCTGAGATGATGCAGCCTTATAGACCACAAAAACAAAGGCTTCAACAGATTTCTGTTTTTTTGTCATGATCCCCCTGGTATTTCAGCACCCCTTAACAGCAAAAAGTAGTTTGGAAAGAACGACGCCCACATTCCTAAATATTGTTTATAAATGTTTGTTTGCATTTATACAGGGTTGGTTATTAATACAAATTTAAGGCCAATTTTGTGAGTCATCTCTAAAAGCTTTTTACAAGGATTGGGAATGGCTGTAGCCCTTGAAGGTAGCTCAGAACTTCTCAAATGGAGGGATGATGAGGGACATATAAGACTTTTTCAACCTTTTGTTTTAATTCAAGGATTGGCTGGAGTTGTTCTGTCATAGAGATTTCAAGTAAAAAAATCATTTCAACAAACTAATCATGACCTAGGAAAAAAGGATGACTAAAAGATGTATGTATGTTCTGAATGTATGGTGTGGCAACAGCGGTATGTATAAAATGTGATTGTAAATATGCAAATGTAAACTGCTTAAATTGCCTTGGATATAATAAAAGGGATCCTTAGGTTGCTTTGGAGATAGTTTAAAAGACACCTAAATTAATTTGGATATAGCCAAAAGAAACATCCAGCCAGTCAATGTATTAACAGAAAATGTTGACAATTTGAGTCCTCAGAGCCAGTCAGTAAAAAAAAAAATAACAAATGTCTATAGCATGGCCTGAGAACCAAAAATAATCTATATAATAAATTCTGTAGTAACAAACAGTTCAAACAAAATTTCAAAAAATAAAAAGGGGGCGATGTTGGGGCTTAGCCCCCACAAGGTCTCTGAGTTGTTTGTCAGACGATAGCCGCAGGGGCATCCTGTTTTCTAGTCCTGGCTTACTGCCCCCAGCATTGCCCCACTGACATCAACATCTAGCACAAGGAAAACATGCTCTCTTCCATCTGGGGTTTTTCCACTGTGCTGTAAGCCTGCGTATATAAGACTGCTCCCTCCTACAAGAGAGAGAGCTCTTATCACTTGCAATAAAGACACACACACACACACACACACACACACACACACACACAATGAAGGCAGCATATGCATTCTCTTAGTACAAACAGCTGGACATCTGGTCTTTCTTTTCCTGATACCTCAGAGTTGCTTGTGGTGCGGGCACTCCACCTCTTCTTTTGTTATGTTTCCTGAACCTTGGTGGTGAGCAGGTAATGGTTTGATAAGGGATGATATAGATGTCCCATTTAGGGATGAGTCACTTATTCTTAGAAATGTTTTCTTAGCACTTTGCCTACTTCTGAGTCTCTCACTTGACTGGTACTTACTGCAGAAAGAAGTTTCTCCGACCAAGATTGATCTGCCCATGTATATTGACATAACCACAAATATCTGCAGCGCAACTTGACAACATGACCATTTTGCAGATTTAGATTTCAAACACTTGAAGGGTGGGGTTACAAAGACATTGTTGATAAATTCGTGTTAATTCTCACATATTGGATGAACATGCAATAAAAGAAAAACTATAAATGTTTACTAAAACTCACAACTAAATAAAGGGACTTGGATAAATCTAATGATTTTTTAAAATATACAGAAGGTATCCTGGTATAAACACTATTGTTTTGGTACATAGATCTAGGCATTGACATAGTAATGAAAATAGGGAAATTAATTGATGTTCATATTTAAGTAGAGGAAAGAATGGTTGGCATGACTCTTGGTATGAGGTAGATTGTAGCTTTTATGGATTAGCAAATTTCTCTGTTTTCCAGGTACAAGAAGAGTTAAATGATGTTATTAGGAAACAGAGGTCACTCAAAAACGTTCCATTATCCAAATAGGATATGTGAACATGAGAATTCATGAATGGTAGATTCAAAAGCAAAGAATAGCCTGTTGGAACTAGTGATTTAGGTAAGCACACATGACAGAAAATTCCCCACAGAGGTAGGGAAATACCCAATCAAGCAATCTCCTTAATAAAAATAAATTGCTTTCAAATTCCTTGCACAGTGAGATCTGAGAGTGTGACCCCACGGAATCCTTGTGTGTCTTCTAGTTTAGTCATTTCTGACTGAATTTACTTCACTAAGACTTACCCTGTGGCAGATGGTAATAAGTACAGCTTTCCATTTTTGTGAGTTGGCCACACGACTATCTATGGGGCAGTTCAAGCCTATTATAGATCACTGAATGTTCTTGATTATTTAGATTTAGATCTTATGCAATGATGACAAAAATTTAATTGAAAACAGACTCGTTTGTGTTGACTAGAACAGCAAAGTATTGGGGAGGCAATGTTTTCAGCACATTATTTATCTAAGTCTGGCTGGTAAAATGCAGAGGGAAGTGACTTAGGTGAGCTCCTTGCCTGTCTTTCACACCTATCATGTGATCTTCCAGTTCTTCACTAAATTTAAACACACCACAGGATAGGAATAGAAATTCAGTACATAAATTGTAGGTATAATTATAATTTACAATTTATTAGACAGAGATCAGAGGCATACCAATGTACTCACAGATGCCTATGTACTCTGTCATAGTTTACTCCAGGGAATGTTCAGTTAGGAAATACTCCAACAATATATTCATAAAACAACAGGCACAATGAACTACAGGCAAAAGATGAGTTTCTTCTCTGTCAAGTTTGAGTAACAACTTGTAACTTTTCTGATATTTGGTAGCTTATTTGTCATATGCTAAAAAACCAAGCAGAAAGAGACATGTGAGCTACTGAAGCACATAATGTTTGAGCATTAATGACATGTTAGGTTTGGAATAGAAAGAAATCACAAAAAAAAGCTTTTTCAAATGGTACAAATGCTTCCTTATTCAGTGAGAGATTTAGTTCAGACTAAATCAGGCCCTCACAAAATATATTTGGTAAATAACTTTTGTACACTTTCTATCTTATTGGAAGAAAGAGAGCGGTCCTGAGGAGGCAGGCTAGGAGGTCATCAAGTTAAATATGGTAACACTTCATGTGTTGTTGGTAATGATTGGGGGCTCTGATTCAGTTGAGTTCAGCTGTAAGACTCAGTCATACCATGGAATAAGAGAGCCACTTCACAGAGAAGACGCCTGCTGGTGACTAAATGCGTGCCACCCATAGCTCTAGGGTCTGCTCCTGGTGGCAGTGGGAAGGTCCCCTGTCCTGTATCCAGAACCTCACACCTTGTGATCATTTAGGGAAACTGCTTAGGGGGCTGTCTCGTCACTGTTACTCAAATAAGGATTGCTCTTCTACAATATTTCTGTATTTCTCCTTGTGTTTGACATTGTACAGTTCTCTTCTGATGAATATTTTCTCTGCCATTGTTTTCTGTCATTTAACTGCCTTAGCAGTTAATTCTTTTGATGCAATGTGATAGTTTTAAAAAAATAGAATGAGAAAATATGAGACCAATATTTTTGAGATAGGTCTCCTTTCAATTTTCTGCAGATGAAAAAATTGCAGATATCAAACTCTTACAAAATCATGTTTTTGTCAGCTAATTGTAAATGAATGAGAAACATATGGATTGAGTTTCCATCAAAACACACACATTAAAAATTCGTGTTAAATTTGTTTAGCAAAATTCTTTCTATATTTTTCCAATTTCAAACATTTAAAAATAATTTTAGTGCTTTTTAGCATTAAGAAGTCATAGGATTTTTTTTTACAAATTCAAAAAAGGATACAAAAAGCCATGAAATGATTTCTACAGTATTATCAGGCAAAAATATACTATCATCTTGATATCCCCATGAATAAGATAAAATGTAATTACCTGAAGGAAAGGTACATAATGTTCTGAAAACTTTAAGAAACTATTATGACCCAAAGATATGTTGCTCATTTTCAAATATGAAAGGGGCAGGCCTTCCAAGTTGTTTTAAAAAATGTATCCTTCTTATTTTTACTATGAGAATAATAAAATGCACTGAATAATACTGGCTGCCCATGGTAATTGATTAATTTTGACTTGAGCCACTGTCAAATGGATTCTTCATGGAACTTGAAGTACAGGTGAACATAACAAGGAAAAATACTAGGGGACAGTGTGAAAAAAATGCAGCTTCACCAGGCTCAGAGGCTGAAGGAATGCAGAAAACGGACCATACATTTGGGGAATCCAGGTCTTAGATTGATTTTTGTCTTTTGGCAGCTCAGTTCCTGACTCTCACTTTGTGTGTGTGTGTGTGTGTGTGTGTGTGTGTGTGTGTGTGTGTGTGTGTGTGTGTGTGTGTGTGTGTTTATAGTATTTTCCCATTGGTATGTCACAGGTAGCGGTGGGAAGAGTTTAGCTCTTATGTCCCCATCATCACATCAGGAAATACAGAACACATTTTAGTACAGACTTAGCAAAGATCCAAAGGAAACTGGGACAGTGCCGGGTGTCGTATTTGTCTATTCCCTTATCTGTCACTCACCCCTGGAGCCCATGAGCTAAATTCCAAGGGACAGGGGCAGTACAATGCAGGCAGCTAGCACTAGGGCAAGGCATGTTGATTTATCAATAAAGGGAAGTAGTACTCTTAAAAATCATGATTGTTGGTATGACAATAAGCATGGAGGTTTACAGGGGAGATTAATTTTCCTTTAACCATTTCTATCTACAGTCCTCTCTAACTCTATTGTGTTGTGGGTTTCAATGAGTGATTTGTGCAGAACATGAGCACATAGACAATAGCAGCTTGTTGGTGACAAGTGTGATCCATGCTTAGCTTCCTTGAGTGATTCCTTGAGCAGAACAGAGGTGGCTGAGGATTGGGAAACCATGCTTTCCATTTTTATGACCTCTGCCTTTCTTTCTGTATAGAGCAGAGACAACTGTTCCCAAAACAACAATATTTTATAGGTTTTGAGCACTTTCCTGCACTTTGAAAATTAGGTTACAAGGAAATACTGAACCACAATCCAAACTTCTAATAGCCAGACAACACTACAAAAACTATTGCTGTTATAGTCAGGTTAAGGAGTTATTTGTTATCAAAGTTTAGTGTTATCTGGAAAATCAGTTACTTATGAATATGTCAATATCCTTCAGTACAGAGAAATTTTGGGGTATTAAAATTATCTTTTTGTACCAAACAAGATGCTTACTATGTTGAATTTGTTATTTTACTCATTGAAAAAAATTTATTGATAAATATACATATAATTTTCTAATCTTTCCTCTATATCCCAAGGAAGGCAATACTAATTGGGGTTTTTATTGCTGTGAGGAGATACCATTAACACTGCAACTCTTATACAGGAAAACACTTAATTGTGGTGGCTTGATTACAGTTTCAGGGGTTTGTCCATTATTATCATGGCAATTAATGCAGGCAGATATGGTGCTGAAAAAATAGCTGAGAGTCATACATCTTGACTCACAGATGACAGGAAGGGGTCTGAGACACTGGGCATGCCTTGAGCATTTATGCCACCTCAAAGTCCACCTCCACAGTGACACACTTCATTCAGCATGGCCAGTATTACTCCAACAAAGCCACATCTCCTATTTGGGGGCAGTTTTCTTTCAGACCACCACATATTACTCCTTGGCTCCCAAGGACTTGGATCCATATCATAATGCAAAGATGCATTCGTTCCAATTTCAAAGTCCCCATAGTTCATAACAGTTTCAAACTTATTTAAAAGTCTAACGTTCAAAGTCTTTTCTGAGATTCATGTAATCTCTTAACTCTAGTTCCCTATAAAATCAAATTCAAAAAGCAGATCACATGCTTATAGCACAGGATATACACTATCATTCCAAAATGGAGGAAAAGGAGGATAGGGAAATACTGGACCAAAGCAAGATCTAAAACCAGTTGGGCAAACTCCAAACTCTGAATCAACATGTCTGACGTCAAAACACTCTTCAGATCTCCATCTCTTTCCAGCTTTGTTGACTACAACACACTTTTCTCTGTTGGTCTGGTTCTACTTCTTGTTAGCAATTTTACTCAGCAGGAATCCCATGGCTCTGGAATTTCCAAAATCTTGAGGTATCCAAGGTAATCCAGGCTTCACCTTCACAACAGTTGCTCCTCTGGGTCTTCATTGCCTGGTCCTAGAAGTTTTTCTTAGTTTCAGAGGGAGATTCTAAAACCCCTTTCTTCTGTCCTTGATCTAAAGGCAGAGCCACATGGCCAACACTGCCAAGTTGTGAAGCTTTGCTGGGCTTGGAATATGGTTCCCTTGTTCAATTACATCTTCACCATGTTTCTGTTTCACATGGCTTCCTTCACTTCCTACGCTTGGGTATACTGAAACTGGATCTGTAGACCAGGCTGGCTTCAAACTCTGAGAGAACCACCTGCTTCTGCCTTCAGAGTGCTGGGTTTAAAGGTGTGCCCCACAACTGCACGGTTGTATTTCATTCTTAACACAGTTGGCCATCAATCCTTTTGTTATTGCTGTCTAATTCATACACACTGTTTATTTTCATATGAACTGCCCTCATCCTGTCAGGAAATACTGTACCTAAAATGGTGTACCATTATAACAATCATTAGCTTCACCTATGCTTCATGAAAATCTCACTATGAGAAATACATCATTTAACGTGTGAGCACTACTCACTAGCATTATATTCACTATTGTGGTGTAGCGTGCAGATATATAATAAGAGCAGTCACAGTGCTACCTAGTACTTCCACAAAGATTTTTGTACAATATGCACTATTGCAAATGTTCTACCTATATGGATAGATTAATTCTCCAAACAGATGATTATTATTATCTATACTGTATGATGAAGAAAAGGAGTAAATGTTTAAGGAATGGCCTAACCATCATACAGCAGAATAAAATCCCACCATTTTCTTTGCCATGCTTTATTTTCTTAAATTGTTTTGAACATGCAATTTTAAGGGAGTTTGCCTTTCTGGAATTAAACTAAATTTTAAAGTAACCTTTATTGTTTGTTCTTCATGTCAAGCAATTATATGATATTACTTTTAAATAAAATGATAAATCATAATAATTTTGATCTACAGTGAATAATACCTATTTATAAAATTATGAAAATAATAGAACAAAAATCATTGATAATTATTGTAACTAATCTATACATCAGGCACTTATCAGGTTTAGTGCTGGTTAAAAACTATATGTTTAATGACATTATCAGATAGTTTCCTTCCTGCTGTTTTTGAGGGTGAGGTCCAAACAGAGAGACTGTGATGGTTAATGTTAGCCAGTTATTTTATTAGTTTGAATATGCCTGGAGGACTGATACAATACAATTCAGAATAGGTCAGTGGGGGTGTTTCTAGAGATGACTGACGTGCAAGATAGTAACTGATAAATACCAGCCAAAAATGGGCCATACCACCCAATAAGCTGTGGTTTAAATGGAATAAATTGAGAAGGAAAAGGAAGCTATCAGAATGGGAGTGTTCTCTCTGTTTCCTGGATGCCATGATGTAAGCACTTCTCCTGCACATTCCTTTCCTCCATGTCTCAGCATTATCAGGCTTATTGTAAGTGGAACCAGTTGACCTTAGATCACACAAGCAAACAAACAAGAGCAGTAATGAAAAAAAATAAAAACTCAGAAATTATAAGCCATACTATATTGCTTTCTACTAAATTATTTATATTTGTTATAGCGGTATAAAGTCTAAAGTGGTATAGTGTGCTAGACTGACTAGTACTTCCTTTTATGCTTGCCTTTTTACCGATTTTTCTTCTTACCATGCATATGCATATTTATCTAGGATTTATCCTTGATGTCTGAGATATAAATATTCTGAAGTGATGGAAAAATTACAAGCAGCTATTAAAGTGAGTGATTCCAAGCAGTGTTAAGAGGGGCTCATCCCACCAGTGTTGACCTACTTCTGAGGGGACAGGAAGCCACCATCAGGATCAGGTGATAAACTCATTTCTCTTTCTTACTTTGGTATTCCACTAGGTTTTTCTACTTTCGACAGCACAGGTTTATTGCCCATAATATTTGTTGCATACGTAGTGTCATAAGGGCTGTTGGGGGAGTGGTTTTTGCCGCAAATCCATTTGAAACTGGCCTCTTTTCCTTGTCTGCCATTCCTTCTCTTTCACGCCTCACCTTTGAAGCAGGTGATTCCTCTCCACCCAATTCTCAATTTTTCTGTCTCAGCTTGCACACATCTGAGATGATTTGTAATCTCTTTTTATTTAAGTCTGTTCCTATTCTGGGCAACCATTATGGACACTTGTGCGGTCATGGATGCGCACGCGTGCACACGCACGCGCACACACACACACACACACACACACACACCACACTTTAGCAATGACAGAGTGGGAGTGCCAGCTTCCCTTGATCAACCACCCCGTTTTGGCTCATCTATCAACAGCTGTCAGCCAGTCTCCCTACCCCTCAGATATCTTAGCCACACCCTAACATCAATTGACCTTACATTCCGCTTGTAAAAAACACTACTCCAGAGCACTGAGATGTCCTTTGAATTATTCTCACTGGGCTTTCAGTAAGGGAAAAGATGGGGCTATCTTTTCTGTGGCACTCTCTTTAATCATCTTAAAAATGGCATTTCATCTCTCAAATTCGAACTCTTAGAGACAAATGTAGGTGAAATTATCATCCAGCTTGACCTATGCACTGAAAATTCTTCAGAGTTTAGAGAGCTCTTTTGAAATGTTTACTTGTTCTGTGTGTGTATGTGTGTGTGTGTGTGTGTGTGTGTGTGTGTGGATATGTTCACATGCACATGTCTGGAGGTCAGAGGGCAAATTGCAGGAGTTGGTTCTCTCCTTTTACTGTACAGGCTCAAGGTTTGGGCTCAGGCTATCAGGCTTAACAGCTTTATGAGATATTTTGAAGGCCAGAAAGTTATTGATTAATGATATTTCAGAAAGATGTTTAGTATCTTTTTATGCAAATATATTTTTTCTCAGTCAAAAATTTTAAAAACCTGCTCAGAGTGGGGATTTAAGTTAGACCCTAAACCTGTCATATTGTTATGGTACATGACCTCCTTCTTCTGACTGCTCACCCTACCTCATCTCAAATGTAAATACAGGGTGCAAGGGATTCTTCTTGATAGAAGTAGCTTGATCAGGGAATGTACCTCATGAAATTATCTATTTACTGAGAAGAATAGTAAGCATAGAATTGTAGTGTTAATTAGTTTCAAAGTAAGCTCATTGCACACTGTTATTCTGATAAGAAATAATTGTATTAAAACCCAATGATGGATTGAAAAAACTCAGCTCTGAAATTATCTTCTGCAATGTACCCTGAAGGCTACATATAGTTATGATTTATATAACAGGTTCTTCTGTAGACAAGTATATGTATCAATTCTTGAAAATAGGGACAAATAGTTAATTACCAGTCAGAATCATCAAACATGTTTTAGTTGAAAGATTTGAATAGCAGCTCAAATTAGTTCAGGGTAAGGAAACAAAATTGTTCACTGCTCAGTAGCGTGAGTATAATTGTTGATAGCTGCTGAGTAAACAATAGCTCCACAGTCATCTGGATTCCCTTTCTGTATCAATGCTTATCCTTACCTGTCCCTACATTTCCATAAAAAAGGATTATTTGGCCTCCTTTGTGTGTTTCCCTAAGGGTGTCCTTTTTGCAACACCAAAAACACTAGAGACGTCAGGAAAAATACTTGATTGTCCTGAGAAGAGCTTTTACTTGTGCTGTGATTGTTTGGAGAGGAGGAACATGTCTCTCCTGTATTCAATGTAATCCTATACCCATAATACTGTAGAAAAGAGAAGGGGTTTGCTAAGATGCATTGGGTGTTAGTTTTCAAAGGTTACAGTACAATAATAACATCAACCTGTGGTATAAAGGTGAGTATGGTTTCAGAATTCTTGAAGATGAAGCTACTAATAAAGTTTCAATCATCCATCCACTTTCTCCATATATAAGATAACCAGTTTTTCCTTATACTTGAAGTCATAAGGCATGTATTTGAACTCCTTTGAGTTTAGTACTTCAAGGTTAAAACATTAAGGCTTGCTTGGTGCTGTTCTATGTATTTGTGTTTTGGAAGATAGATATTGGTTTAACTTAAAATCTCTTTTGACTTTGAGAAACAGAAAATAGATTTAAGGCAATGGCTTACTATAATTCTTTGTGTAAGAAGGGGTACCTTACATATCCTTTCTAATCAGAATAGCAATCTAAAATAAAATAATTATATTTCTTTTTTGTAACCATTTAAAATGTGTATGAATTTTTCTTAGGGAAGCAAAATCACCTCAATGGAAGTGTGTATTCTTTAAGTAAGATTTATTTCAGTGAACTCTCACCAAGAATTTTGACTGGTGTAGCTTGTTTCCTATTAACTTCGGGATTCTAAAGCCTTAGGCTTTCTTTTTCTTTAAAATTAATTTTTATTTAAAATAAACAATCTTATTTTACATACCAATCCAAGTTCTCTCTCCCTCCTGCCCTCCCATTGCCCCCCTCATCTCCCCACTCCAACCCCTTCCACTCTTCAGGGAGTGTGAAGCCTCCCATGTGGGATCATCAAAGTCTGTCACATCATTTGGGGCAGGACCTAGGCCTTCCCCTGTGTATCTAGGCTGAGAGAGCATCCCTCCATAGGGAATTGGCTCCCAAAGTCCATTTTTGCACTTGGGACAAATACTAGGTCCACTGCCAGAGGTCCCAGGAATGCCTAAGCCCTCCATGTTCAGAGTGCTTGGTTCAGTCTTCTGCAGGTTCTTCAACTGTTAAACATACATGGACTCCCTGAGGAGGGGGAAAAGGACATGATCTCTGGAGTAAATTGGGAGACTTAGCCTTTCTTATCAGTCACAATGAACTGAGTTTAATTTTGACCTTAGTGTTTTCCCAGAAAATATTTGTTTCAAGACTGAAAGACGTGACAAGTCATTCGTGATGTAAAACCCAGAAGCATCTTTTACTTTGTTTTCCCAAATATAGAGACAGAAAGTCATTAGCTGATATTTTGTAAACACACACATACACTCATGTTCTGAATGCTCACCATTAAGATAAGGTACTGCTTATCCAGAAAGAGTTGCTGTTTATGTTTTTAGTCTTTGCCAATTCTGCTTTGCTATGTTTGAATATGGAACTGAAACAATTATTTGGGACAAGTATAAAATATATTTGAAATATAACATATGTGGAATATCTTATTTTTAAATTAAATAGTGGCATATCCAGTGACTTTAGCATTGGGGATTGTTTTTCTAAATGATACCATTATAAAAAAGCTCCTACCAGAGTTGATAAGAATTATTTGGTGCCAGAAATTGTGCTACTCACTGATGTGCATCTTGCTTCCAGATGTGCATGTTATCACCTTACACAAAACAGCTCTAGCAAAAGAACTATGCAAGAAATTTGGAAACCAAATAAAACATCTAGTCTCTGTACTTTTTAACAACTCACTAAAGCAAGCTGGGATAATGATCCCAGGCTCCCCTCTGTATCTATACTAGTGTTTTACTTCATCATTCAAGAAAACACTACAGGAAGTTCATTACCTTCCCACAATTAACATTGTTGACATGGTCTTAGATGGTGGTTAGTCCCATTTTTTAACCCCCAGATGTTTGGTGTTGTGATATACAAGTTTAGCTGTTTTAATAAAGATAAAACAGCTAACATTCCACAGAATTAATTTCTCCTTTGTGAAGTGAAGACTACAGTTACTATTCCCTTTGTGATTCAAGGATGCTACAAAGTGGCAGAAAGCTTACTCCTCTAGAAGGTGCTATCGAGGCTGTTAGAAAAAAAAGAAAGCAATGGTTTTTACCTAGAGTTGGACCTTGCATACTGCAATACTAACCTGCCACTCTGTGTATCTACTAGTGCAATAGTAGTATGACTATTAAGGAGAAAGTAATTCTTTGTAATTGGATTTGAAATCTGTTCTCAGGAGGAAATGGTACTGTAATATAGATTAATGACTCATGACTGGAGAGGTCATCAACTTTAAGGTATAACCAGCTACTATCATTTTCCCTAACTGTGGTTATACGTAGGTCAGTGCCCAATATCTGTTATTGTGACCTTCTGGGATCTAATGGACTTGGATATTCCCACCACTCCAGCCCTGGGATTTTCAGGATACACAGAGTGAAGTCTTGAATGCAACTCTGTTTTTGCTCTCAGAAGACCTATACAAGATCACTCCAGCCAGAATCCACAGTTAAGTGGAGCAGATGAGCTCCAGGTCCCACTCAATATTGAAGAGTTAGTTTCTGGCAGTGGGCAGTTGTCTAGGAAATGAAGAATCCTTCTTTGTTGAGAGCATAATCACTGGTGGTTTGCCACGCTCTCATGGATGGTGCCACATCTATTCCCACCCTGGCCGTCTGCCTGTACTCAGTGTATTATAAAACAAGTAATCAAACTCCTGAAATGGAGGGAATGTGGAGGAGGTTGGGGGAGGGGGCCAGTGAAGGAATAAATAATGGGAATATATTTAATTTTATATACTTATGAAAAATTTTAAATGAAGACATTTTTAAATGAAAACACAAAGTAGTCACAGGACCCAAGATGTTCATTCTCTTCCTTCTTCCCTGCCTTCCTCCTTCTATCCCAACCTCCCTCCTTCCCTTCTTCCTTCCTTACTTTTTGTATTTGTTCTACAAAACAAAAAGCATTTATTTTAGGGTAAACAGTTGTTTCATAGACTTTCATTTATTCTGTCATTCTTTAAATGGTATCATACTTTTCTGTTGTTTGTTTTTCAAGCAGGGTTCCACTGTGTAGGCCTGTCCTGGAACTCATTCTGTTGACCAAACTAGCCTCAAACTCACAGAGATCCACCTGCTTCTGCCTCTGGAGTGCTGGAATTAAATTCTGGAGTTCTGGGATTAAAGTTGTGTGCCACCATCATCTGACCATTTATTTTATTTTTGACTCAC